ATGCCAGAGGACGACAAGTTGAAGTTTGTTAAGAGATCCAAAGGCAGCATTGATGATTTAAAAAGTAATCTCATTGCTTAAATCTTTTAACATTGTTGTGCATATATACCCGTAAAAAATTCTCGATTATTGTTGTTCCTTGTATATGGTATAAGCCTTGTTGAAAGGCTATTATTGTGGAGGGAGATTAAAGGAGTTTATTTACTGTATTTGAGAATAAGATTTAAAATGTGATATAAGGTAGGATTAGAAATACAGATACCGTACCTAGTGCCCAGCCTAACCTTTTCCAAACTACTTGACATTTAAAAGTTTTTGAATAATAGATGTACTTAGAACAGAGTTCAAGAATCAATACACTGTACATCCAAGTGTAATACACAGTCTGGATGTATTTTGATGCTGATACACTGATACCAACACAATCTGTTGAATAGAATACATTCATGTAGACATGCTTTTTTTAAGTATCACACTGTTTTGTTGAAAAAATAATGTGCAATATTTTTAATACTAGTTTAAATATCAATAAAAATCAATCAGCAAAATTTTTTATTTTTGGCAAGTGCTTATAATACTTATAATTTATCAGTGCTCCATAATATTTGGAAATTGGTAGTACAAATTTAGTTACAGGAGAGACCAGTACTTCATTGTAATGGTTTTGTAATGTAATATTCAGAAGTTCACAAGGATATCTGCTGAAAAAGATCTTATCATCTATACCACATAGATATTCATCACAATATTTTATGATATACATGTATCAGCTAAATATTTTCTAAGTTTAGTAATGGAGATTATGATGACAGTTGAAAAAGGAAGGAATTAAATTAAGAAAAAAAAAGTTAACAAATATTAGAAGCTTGCTAGTTAAGTTGCATTTAGGAGCAGGACACCGATATTCACTGTAATAGCAGTATAATTGCACAAGGTAGAAATACTATGAGTTCCTCCCTAATGCTACTTTGTGTCATTTGTTTGTTGAGTGAGCCAGTTGTTAAGGGTTGAGAGTCCTACCGTTATTAGGTAATGGCGCATTGGAATACATAACTACATGGGAAAAAATACCAAGCCAAAATGAATAGCCATATATCTACAATAAGAAGAGAAATGAATTTGTAACGTTTCAAACTCGCCAAGAGTTCCTCATCAGACAAGTGAATGACTGGTTATTGGTCTGATGAGGAACTCTTGATGAGTTTGCAAAGTTACATTTTAATTTCTTGAATTATTGTAGATGTTTTCCTATTCATCTGTGTACACATTGTGTGTGTGTTTATGTTCATACTAAACCAATTTTAGCATGGACATAAGACTCTTTATAGATTAAATAGTAAACACAAGTGATTAATCTTGTAGATGAGGAGTACAGTCCTTCCCCATCTGACCCAGATAATCACCAAGTGGAAAGTAGAAAAGCTCACTTCCAAGTCTCCTTTTGTTAATGCTCATGGATTATGTTGACTGGGTCTTAGTTGTGGTTGCTCAAAGTGGGTGCTGGCTCCAGCTTGTGGGTTTTCAAAGAGGATACAAACAACATCAAGAATGTCTGATATATTATGTTAATAATTTTGGTTTAAACAGTGGCCAGTGTAATAGATTAAAAAGGGTAAAAAACAAATTAAAGAAAAAAATGATTATTTTACATTGACTTGGGAAGCTACTGAGGTTGTTAATTACTGTTAATTTATCTTATCACTTTCAGTGGACAAGACTTACCAAAATTAGTTTTATGTGTTTACAGAGTCGAGTCATCAATAGTCTTAAGAAAGAAGAGGAGGAGGAAATGGGTCCAAGGAAAAGAAAAAGAAGACGCAAACATGATGACGAGGATGGATTTATAAATGATGGAGATGCATATGACGATTTTCCTTCCACGTCAGATTCTAAGAAGTCCAGCTTGAGTACAGGAGTGAAGGTTCCAACCAATATCAACTTGACAAACTACAAAAGTGATAAATACAACAATTTCAAGTATGATAAGGAGAAAGAAAAAGAAAAAGAAAAGGAAAAGGAGAAGGAGAAGGAGAAAGAGAGACATAAAAAGCACAAGGAAAAGAGCAAGGCCAAGGCAGCACCTCCCCCCATGAGCTTTGAGGAGTTGCTAAAAGTGGCCCAGAAAAAACAGACTCCAGGAGGCAAAACAGAAGAAGAGGTCAAGAAAAAAGCTAAGGAGCAAGAGAAGAAGAAGGACATTGATCGGCCACTCACTGCCAAGGAGAAAGAGGAATTAGAGGAAGAGAGAAGAAGAAAGTTACGAAGAATGGGCAAGCTGCCTCCAGAGAAGAAGGAACCAGAGAAGTCCAAGGAGAAGGGACCGAAGACTGAGCCAGGTAGTCAGGAAGAGAAAGCAAAGAAGGAAGGCGACAAGATGGGTGGGAAGAATAAGCCTGCAAGCAAACTGCAACAGGCACTGGAGAAACCGAAACCTGAACCCAAAGTGATTGACAGAAGTAAATACTTTGCAGTTCCAGCAGCGGTCAAGCCACGAGAACCTCCTCAGAGCAGGGACTCAAGGCCTCCCCAAAATAATAAACAGATGCCTTCCAAGTCCCAAGACAGCCGAGCAGTCTCAGCCAATGATGGAAGACCGCAAAAGAGCAGAGAGTTTCCTCCGAGAGACCTCAAGCCCCAAAAGTCCCGTGACTTTCCACCAAGAGACAAAGGACGCCCATTCCCTCCCCCAGACTTGCATCGACGACCGCCCCCTGGTCCAGCGCTCAAGAGAGGTCGGATTGAAAGTGATTCTGAAGAGGAGTATGATTCAGAAATGGATGATTTCATTGATGACGGAGAAGAAGAATTGGATTACTCAAATGAAATCAAGAAGATGTTTGGATACGATAAGAGCAGATATGCGTGGGTATCATTTGTTTCACTTGTGCTTTTAAGAATCTTATCAAGTTTTTCCATTTTTACCTTGCACTGTTATATAGAGGTAGTTATTTCTGTCTTACTATTAAAAATGAAATGTGATACTTGTTATGGAAAGAGACAAGATATATTTTTTTTAAGATTAATTTGGAACACAGCCGTTTATTCATTTTCACATTTTTTCTTCTATGTTTTGAGGCATTAAAGGCATCACCTCGGCCATCAGCCAAATTTTTCATCACGACATATTTTGACTCACCCGGCCCTGTGCCAAATTTTTCATGACGGCATATTTTGACTCACCCGGCCCTGTAACAAATTTTTCATGAGGGCATATTTTGACTCACCCGGCCCTCTCCCAAATACTTTTAGTATATGAAGATCACATCACCCATATCCAGTGGGGTGATATAAGCTTTATGTTGCTTGATATTTTGTGCTTATTTTATTAATTAGACAATGTTGTTTTAGAAGGGGTTACGTTAGGCTATTGCATATGTTATTTGTACTTATGGTTACTCCTTGTATCCCCCTCACAGAGATGATGAAGATGACTGTGATGACATGGAGGCTTCATTCTCTCAGATGCAGAAAGAGGAGCGCATCTCTGCGAAAATTGGTCTCATGGAAGATCTGGAGGATATGAAGAGAGAAGAGGAAGAGAAGAAATTAAAAATGATCAGGATGAAAAAGATGAAGAAGGGTAGATGAGGCCCATGCATGAATGGAAACCCAGAGGCAAGAGAGAAGTTGAGAAGTAGATGAAAAAAAAAAAAAAAAGTTCTTGAATCCATCTGTACATAGTTTTTATGATACACCTGTGCCAGTAATGAATTTTATATGTATATAGTTGCCATAGTCTAACTTCCCTCACCAGGATATACCATACTGCCAGAGTGGATCGTGGGACTCAAACACTGATGATGAAGTATGGGCTGTTTTGTGGTCAATATCAGTGGCATATATGTTTTGTTATTAAGATTTTTTTTCACAATATTTGAGTATTATTTTCTAATATCATTGTCATTATTTTTACTATACCATTTTTGAGTTTATCATCATCAGTTTTTTTTCTGTAGTATTTTTTATTTATTCATTATAATTTTTTCCATTTATTGTTGTTGTTATTGCCATTTCATTATTATATATTTTTTTATTCCTATAGTTGTTATAAAGATTAGATTTTGTATTCAGAAAATGTGTATTATACTATGCTGAATTTTGACCTTCATTGATACCTCCTCCCTTCCCTGTTCTGTATGAAATTGCATTTTACTGAATAGTAAATACCGATGATTGATGTACCATAGTTCTTAGTTATTATATGGAATGTTTAGCATAGTGTGATAACATTTGTTGAAAGCAGGCTAGAGATGTACCTTGAGGATAGGGGGAGAACTTGAGATCCAGATAATCCACATTTTTTCACACTAATGGACGTGCTTCCATTTTGTTATTTTCATTTTTATTGAATGAATTATTTCAGTGATTTAGCACAATCTGTTAAGGGGATGGTGAATATTTGTTTATTTTATCTTTATGTTGTGTTGAGTATTTTTTAATTGACATACCTGGTTCTTTGTAATAAAAAGGGGGTTGAAAAAAGGAAAAAACTAATCCTAAGACAGTTATAAGTTACTGCTTCCTCTCATGATATCTGGGTTTGATAGATGGAGCCTGAAAAATATCCTAAACCCTGGCTAAGCTGGGATTAAAAGTTTCCTAGATAAGTTGTCATACTCATCCAAGATGGGGGGAAAATGACACTAAATGAGAATAAAATGAGGTATTTTACATTGTTGCTGCAGCTGGTTGTGGCTTCGTGTTACGAGATTTCCCTAAGATCTGTTGCTTTCTTTTCTTGTAGTTGCTTTATTATTTCTGTAAGGAATGAGTAACGGCAAAACAGACCACTTCTGTTTTGTAGATAGTATTGACCATGTTATACAGTGTAGGATAGAGATGCCAGAAATGGGAGCTTTTAGTTATTGGTTGGGTATTGACAGGGTACATCATAAAGAACTGAACTTTATCATTTCTTTGTTGAAAGTTCCTTTTGTTAATGTTGATGGAGGATGAAAATTTACAATGGAGAATATATTTATTGCTGAGATTTATAACCA